GCCAGTTATATTGAATCAGGGACTCACTTTACTCCAGTGTGACCTAATCTTAACTAGTTACATCTTCAAATAACCTATTTTTAAATAAGGTAACATTTTGAGATAACAGGGGTAAGGACTGAATTTTTGGCAGACATAATTCAACCCATTACAAGCAACAAGCTGTACTAATAACCACTGTATTCTTCATTTGAACATACATACACATGCACACACCCGGTTACACTTAGAAATATTCCTGATGAATCAGTAAAAATATCAGTTTTATTACATTTCCATGCTTGATACATCCATCATCTTTTTAATATTCTATGTATGAAACTGGAAATACATATAATGTAATATTGTTGCACAGCAAAGTGTGATTGTTGCCTTGAGGGAAAGCACATGTACAATTAAGTTGCAAACTGAACTAACTTCATCCTTTTTTTTAGGTGCAGAATGGCTAGTATATTTATTTTTTAAAAAAAGGTTTTGTGCGGCTTTAAAGAAGACCCTGTAGAAGGAACTGACACATAGAAATATTTATTGCCATGGCTGTGTGGCTCAGTTGATTGGAGCATTGTCGTCTATACTGAAAGGTTGTGGGTTTGATTCCTGGTCAGGACACATACCCAGGTTGAAGGTTTAATCCCAGGTTGGGGTGCATGGAGGAGGCAACTTATCAATGTTTCTCTCTCACATCAAAACTTCTCTCTCTCTCCCCCTCTCCCTTCATGTCTCTATAATATCAGTGGGAACATATCCTCGGCTGAGAATTAAAAAAAGAAGAAATATTTACCATTTTCCTTTTCTTGTGTCTAGGTAACACTTCCCAGAGGTCACATAAATGTTTATTGAATTGTTAGATGTAGCAGAAGAACTTTCTTAGGCCCTTAAATAATAATAAATATTTTAAAAATTATTGTTGTTTTTTAAAAACAATAATACAAAACAAAAGTTTTTCAGAAATCAAACAAAATAGATTATGGCTACTTTGTCAGAAACCCTGTAAAACCCAAAGGAAGAAACACATTAGGGTCTCAGGAACTACAATATTAGAAATTTGAGCTGGGTTAAGACTGTTCTCTCTCTCTCTCTCTCATTCTCTCTCTCTCTCTCTCTCTCTCTCACACACACACACACACACACACACACACACACACACTGCTTCTGTTTCCTTCTTCCCAAGGTAGATGCGTTACCAAAGTCCTGTGTGTCAGAGGTGGCTCTCCCCTCCTTGGCTCTTGTCAATCTTATGAGAAGAAATTCAGACAAATGACAGAAACTAGTTTTGAAGCAAAGCAAGCAAATTTTTTAAAGAAGTAAAGCAAGAATTTATTAAGAATGCACTTGGCATAAAGCACAAGGGGGCAACTCAGCTAGTCTGAGCACCTCTACTGGTGGGGGTTAAAGGGGTTTTATACCCTTCCCCTTATTGGTTTCAAGGCTTCCCTGCCAAATATCTTGGGTAGCTGACTAGGTTTCAAAGTCCCTTTCTTCATTGTTGTGGATTATCTTGAAATGTTTGCAAATATATTTGGTCATCCTATTTGGCAAGTCCTGAAACAGCTGACTTCTTTGTCCAGTGGGTAATATAAACTCCCCTTTTCTCTCCTTCCCAGCTTCCCTGCCCTAGTAGCTACTAGTAGCTATCTATTCTGCCAAATAAATGTATGAGTCAGGGTTTCTCAGAGAAACAGAACAACAGTGCGTGCGTGTGTGTGTGTGTGTGTGTGTGTGTGTGTGTGTGTAGAGAGAAAGTTGAGAAATTGGCTCATATAATTATAGAAGCTTGGCAAAATCAAAACGCCAAGTTGGAGTTTCTCTCTGTTAGAGGATGCCACCTGGAGTGGGTGGGTCAGCAGCCTGGAGATTCAGGTAAGAGTTGCAGTTCAAGTCTGAAGGCAGTTTTCTGGCAGAATTACCTTTCATAGGTCAGTCTTTTATTTTTAAGGCCTTTGACTGACTAGACGAGGCCCACCCACATTGTGGAGACTAATTTCCTTTACTCAATGTCTACTGATTTGAATGTCAATGTCACCTAAAAATATCTTCACAGAAACATCTAACAGTGGTTCTCAACCTTCTGTCCCTTTAAATACAGTTCCTCATGTTGTGCCCCAACCATAAAATTATTTTCATTACTACTTCATAACTGTAATGTTGCTACTGTTATGAATCGTAATGTAAATATCTGATATGCAGGATGGTCTTAGGCGACCCCTGTGAAAGGGTCGTTCGACTGCCAAAGGGGTCTCCACCCACAGGTTGAGAACTGCTGAATAATGTTTGACTCAATATCTGGGAACTATGGCCTAACCAAGTTAATATAAAATTAACCATCATAATAGGAAAAATGGGGAAGAAGAATGAATTATTCTTCTAAGTTCTGGTTGCAAAATTCTCAAGAAAGTACCCTGATTTGTCCAGCTGGGTGAGGTGCCCACCACTGGACCAAACAACTTTAATCAGAGGTGGCATCTGGAGAAAGGACTGTAATCAGCCCAGCTCATATGAGGTGCCTATGATGAGCCATTCCACTGTGGCTAGGGGAGGGGCAGAGGCAAGGTTACCACTAAAAAATGTAGTCAAGAATAAAACAAGGTGTCCCATAAATGGGAAATCATTGATCAATAGCTTATGAATGTAATTTTCTAATGTTAACATATTTTTCCACTTAATGATGAAGTAACTCTAATTTGTTTAGAAAGTCTTTCAATGTAATTTAGTTATGGTGAACTGATTTTCTATCATATTGTACATAAGTTTTTGTGGAGATAGCAGCTTCCACTTGATTTAAGTACCTAAAATTGATTTCATTTATTTTTCTCTGAATATTTTTCTAGCTTCATCAAAGGACAGAAATCAGAATCATTCAGAATATCCTATGGAAGGTAATATACTTGCCCCCCCCCCCCATCCAGAGGTCAGTACTAAAGGAATGAGGTGTTGAACTTCCTTAGAAATATAGTTGATGGTCTGGTTTGAGGAACAGCCTTGTGCCCAGTTGAAGAATATGGTGATCTGAATGCTGTGGGGTGAGGGACCCTGAATGACCCTGTCCCCTGACCCCAAAGC